GATTACCTCTTATGAGCTCTCATGAGAGAGAGAGGATATATATATATATATATATATATATATTAATTTTTATTTTGTCAAACAATCTAATTTACAAACTTAGCTTTTAAAAAGCCAAAAAGTTATAGAGATAGATGTTGGAATTGCTAGAGAAGAGCTATATTTAGAAAAGTATGAAACTATATATAATTCTAGCTCTTTTAATCTTTAAAAGGAATGGATTATGGCATATATGTATGGATAGTCGAGCCAGTACAATAATTAGATCATAATAAAATATAGGTACTCAATACCATAGCTTGATACCATGTCAGATTTGTTGGCAGGTTCAAAAGTGTTTTTCAAGATTGATCTCCAGTGGCTACTATCATATTAGAATCAAGTTAGGAGATTAATGGAAGATAGCCTTTAAAACACAACATAGGTTACACTTATGGATAATTATGTCATTTGGTCTATTCAATGCTCTCATCGGTTTTATGAGATTCATACATTAGGTATTGAGATCATTCATAGACAAATTTATTGTGGTTTATTTTGATGATATTATTTAAAAAAATAACATAGTTTGGTAAAAATAAAAATAACAAAACTTGAACACAATTGTATTTCTGAATATCGGTTCTATACATAACTTCTATTCTGAATAGCAATTGTTTAGTCATGTTTTAAAATTTATATCTTTAGCAAATTAATTAACCTTAATCACTATAACATTTAACAGTCTTACCAACTAAATTTTTCTATCGGCGTAAGATACATATTCGGTCGGTAATTAATTTACCAACGAAATCACCAAAGGAAATGCATCGTCGATGAATCTTTCATCAGTAATTTTTTGTTTCTAGGAAATGCACCGTCGGTGAATCTTTCATCAGTAATTTTTTGTTTCTTGATAAATTTGTTAGTAATAAAAAAATTATTATTATCTACAGATTTACTAATAGAACAGATGTGTAAAAAACAAAATTTACCTGCTTCATTCTGTTGGTATATCCCTCAAAAAATATCATCGGTAATTCTGTTGGTAATTATTTAAAAATATTTTTTAAAAATCTATTTTATAAAATAATTAAATTAACATAAATCAACACTCTATAATATATACTCAAAATGCTTGGAAAAAAGAAGAAGAAAATCAACTCAAACAAATTTGCAACAAATAAATAAAATGAAAAAATAAATTCAACTAAAAAATTCATATAAATAATAAATTTGTGATTGCTAAAAATTTAATAATTCTATAAATAAGTCAATTAAAAATTAATCTCATATAAAAAAAAACTCATAACAACATTCATACAATTATTAAGAATAAAAAAATTAAAAATAAAATAAAAAACAAATATAATGAAAAAATAATGAAAACATAAGAAAAAAATATTACTTTAATGTTATTGCAAGTGAAACTAAGAAGAATTTATTTTGTCACTAATTTTATTGGTCAAAATGACATATTATTGTTTTTTTTCATTATAATTTTTTCGGTTATATTAAGGGAATATCTTTGTTAGTAAAATCCCTCAAAAATTTAATGATGAAAATATTTTCTTGATATTTTGGTTTATATTTATTGATTTTATAGTAATGAATAAAAATTAACATAAAATTTTTAAAATTTTATTCTTTTATTTTAAATTATTTTTTATAAATTTGAGTAGTTTTGATATATTGATATAAAAAAATCTTCAAATATATATTATTTTAATATATATGTAAATAAAAAAAATAATTAATACACCGTAATCTCATGCGCTGACTTAAAACGAACGCAGCGGCTTGATTGCCGTCTAAAAACGCGGAAAGCAACATGCTCTAATTATTAGATTCCACCGAACGAGAAGGCTACATGTTGTCTGCTCTAGAAAAAATTAATGTAAAAGGGATTCGAAAGAGCAAGCAGCTAGGCTGGAAGAAACCTCGGCTAAAAAAAGAAAAAGTCAATGCTATAGTTTAGCACTTGCTTGGTTAGAAATGGTAGAACTTTCAATAACCAAAAATTCAATTAATTCCACGGAAAATATGTAAAAAAAAAAAAAAAACAAGAACAAAAACAAAAACGGCGGTTTATAGTTACCTAAAACGTCGGCTGCTAATTCCCGGAATCTGATGTGGCGACGACCGTCCCTTTCACAGTAGTCTAGCACCTTAGACATGAGATAATATGCGTAAAAGGTCACCATTCCCATCACCGTTAAGCAGAAGAACCCTAAACCCCATCCTAGCCCTCTAAACGCATACGGTAACGTCAGTATTGTAGGCCCCACTATTGCCGTCGTCAAATGAAACCCGGCATGCCACCACTCCCCTGCAAACAAAAATAAAAATTATAGAAGTTGTAGGATCAGGCTCAATTTCCAAATAACTGAAAAAACGTCGCGCCAA